GGCAGATGAAAACACCTGTTAGCACCATTGAAGAGAAATGTCTCAAATATGTGCCTTATTTCAATCACGTTTTCCATTGTTAAGTACATTTTACTGGTGCAATGTCACCTCTCCTTCTGCAATGGTTCAATGGCAACCCTTCTGGAGATTTAGCACAACGTCTCTTTATCTCAATGCCCCTAATACCGAATATTTACATAACAGTTGTGAATGGAAACTTTACTTGCACTTTCTTTTGATTTCTTGGAAATATGTGTTCAGTTTGATGTTCATTTAAATAGAAACTAGGCTTATCAGAGAACAACAACTAGAAAGTGAATAACAACACTACTGAGTCATAGAGAAACACTCATGCAGAACATCCTTCTTCCTTCAGATGCTGACTGAAGATAAACTGAGTGTATTAGATAGACGGAGAGTTCAGGGATTTATATACCTACAAATACTCAAAGCCAGTGACACATTCACAACACTATTCTGCTAGAAACTATCGAATACCATCAAAAACACCTGAAACCTTGACTTCACTTCCTCTTTTCTTCTCACTTTTACTTTTTATAAAGTGGTTTCATCTCCTAAGAAACAACCACAACATCAACGTGGCTCTGAATGTGCCCGTGCTTGTTCATACTGGGAAGATATCCACGTCATTAAAGGCAGGTGGACTCGCATCATTTTCTCTGGCAGTGTAACCACATCAGGGGAGGTTATTGACGCATGATCAAAAATATTTGTTTGACTCGTTGTTCCAGAGGAAGTGGAGGACTGGAGAGTGGCTGCAACTAAAAGTGGTTTCTGTGTGTTACCTGCAACACCATCTCTGTTGTGTTATTCAGGTAGAAGTGACACTTCCTGTGAACTCCCACTCATTCAGCTGTCAAAATAATGTGTCATGAGTCAAGCAGCTGCAAGCCAAATATCTAAATTAGAGTCTAAATTTAGTACAACCTGAGGATTTAATATATGTAAATATTCTGAATAATGTTAGCTTAACATCATGTAAGCAAGCTAGAGAGAAACACGATTAATATTAATAAGGAAATTGTGTAGCACACCAAAAAATAACAAGCATTTTACTGATGCACATTAAAATTAAACACCGGCAGATTAAAATATAAGAACATGATATCATTAATCACTTTCGCCTGAGCAGTGGAGCTGTAGCGTTGTAAAAGGGCCCATTTCTGTGGTGCTGACCCTCATGTTAAGCCACAGATACTTGAGCACCTCATTAGAAGTGAATGGGCCTCGAGGTGGGAGGCAGGGCGGCTATTGAGAGGCTTAGCGGGGCTCCACAGGGCTTCCTAACTGCCACTAGAGGGGAGAGGAGAGAGGGAGAGACTGACAGCAAGCCTCTCTCACTCAAGAATGAGGGAGGGATGGAGAGCTCTCCTCTCTTCCCAGGATGCATCATTCATGGCCGTGTCTGTCCCCGGTCCTTAGAGCACTAAGGATGAGGATTTATGTCTTAGCACTGCAGATAGAGATTTAAAACACTGACAATCATCTTATATCTAATAGTAGCCAAGTACAGGCTTAATTGATGAGGAAATAAAAAAAATGGAACAATGGAAAGTAGTGACGCCGCATGGTCATAATTCATACCAGGCAAATGTGGGTAGAATCTTATATCACAGCGCTGATGTTTACAAAAAGTTCAAAATGCAATCTAACTTAATGCGCACATTTAATACATTTAGATTCCCATTGTCTTTACCACACTTGAGTTTGTAAATATATAATGTTGTACCTTATTATGTTTGTGAATTGACAAACCAAAAGAAGATTCTTGTGTGAGGATTTTGCTTTTGGCCTCATAAGGTCTTATTATCCAGGTTTTATGAATACATTCTTCAGATTTCTCTGCCATTTGAGGCGGAACTGAGGTTATGGAGGATCAAGGATAAACAGAAATGCCTCCTGATGATGATAGACCGGCCCATCTTGAAAAGAGTGAGGGAATTTATTTTAGTAACATCACCAAGCAGTGACTTTATAGTGGAATGCTTGAAAAGCCAAACAACTAAAAGAACAATACGTATTTTGGCATGTATCTATTTAGTAAGCAATAGTGCGACTGAACAAATGCATGCTATCAAAAGCCAAGTGACAGAGTGCATGCCTTCACTATCAAAACATTGACTTTCATGATTGCTAATTGTTTTAACAAACAGCTGAAGTGCCTATAGGTGAATAGCTATTGTGCAGACATTGATTTTGTGGGTAATTCAAGATCAGCATTTCTATGCTGCCGATAAAAACGCCATGGGAGAAAATCAATTTGGCCGTTTTGTCACTTGATGCCGGCTGAGGCCTTACAAGCTGCAGAAGTCAAAGGCGGCTCGCTCAGGTCGGAAGGAAACGCCAACAGTATTAATCCTCATCACCTATTTAAAAATGTATGAATGTATAGCCTTCATTTCTTTCATCTTTGGCATTTGGCTTTCATTTTCACATCACAGGTGCCCAGATCTCAGAAAAATGCTGAAGTAAGAAGAAGTGCAGGAGTGTTTTTCTTAACTATCTCTACAAACACAAACATTTTATTTAGTTTCCTCTTGTTTTATAGTTCAACGTATGATTGTGTTTTAGTGGTTGCATCTATTTAACTACTTTAGTCGAATCTGCTGTATATACGACTGCATAGTTTTGTATGAAAACAACTAAATACTTTTATGAAGAATAAAAATGATACAAAAAACCGGGCTTTACAATCTGTACAAAATACAGTTTGACACCTGCTATCCTTAGATGCTTAATTCTGACAAAACAAACACTTATAAATGAGAAAACTGAAAATAAATATTTGCCCATTCATACAGTTTATGACGCCTTGAAGGTGCCTTGGTCAGACCCACTCTGAATGAATTAAATTCTGTATCTGTTTTTAGTGCACATAAAGGTTATTGTTGGCAACCGTTGTCAGATAAATAAACAAAATGTACTTGCACTTGTATCGTAAATGTGAATAGAAGTGTGTAAAATTATTATTGGCCATTAACGTGAACATGAAAACAGCAATGGAGGCAAACTAAGGAAAATACATAAACAGAGGCTTTTTATTTGAAGGCGTTCTTAACAACCTGTATTCTGTATTAGCTCATCTTCCTTAACACCACATTGAAATGTCATGCTCTCCCTCCAAACACACCCCTTAACTTTTTCACTTTTCTCACCACAGTCAAACCAGTTCCTTCCCCTTCCTAAATCCCACACAACCTCTCTTCTTTCTCACTCTACTTCTTCTTTACTCCTACTCCACACACTCTGCATCGATCTTTTAGTTCCTCCATCTCTTCCTGTGTCTTGCTCTCTCACCAACACACACCAACACACACAAAGCTCTCATTCTTTCAGTTTGTGGCTTTTCTTTCAAAACCGAAAAGCTTGCGAAGGAAAAAACCTACACCCCCACCCCTTTCTCAGTGCAGCTGGGAACTCTCTCTCTCTCTCTCTCTCTCTCTCTCTCTCTCTCTCTCTCTCTCGGGTCAGGAGGTCACAGGCCACCACACCCTGACAACCCACAAGGGGAGGAGAGAAGAAGAGGAGGCGGGAAGGAAATCAGAGATCCTCCGTCCTTGCCCAACAAATGTACAGACAAGTAAACATGACTTGAGGCAATTTTTTCCTCAGCTCTCAGTCTGCTTTATTTCGTGTTTCCTAGCTCACTTTCCCTCCTAATCTTCCTCTGTTTCTCCAGGAAAAGTAAGAGAAAAAAAGTTTCCCCCCTCCAACAACCAGTAAATCTGTGACAGCATACTATACATGTGTCCGTCCAGTTTGAAAACAGTCATTAACGAGGAACAGACTGATCCTTCCTCGCAGATTGGAAATGAGAGAGATGTGAACAGGAGGTGTGAAGTGAAAATGTGTCAGTGTAAGTTGTTTTTTGCTGGCAGCATGGCAAACAAGGAACTTAAAAAAGAAAAGTGCAGAACAACAAACCAACTGCATATCTAACTGCCCAGAGAGAAATCGCAGATGTTCTTCTCTCCCTCCAAACAAACCACTTTTATTCTGCTTTTTAAAAGCATGAATTCCCGTCATACGCACACTCCCCTCCCTTTCTCTCTCACTACATATATCTCTCCCTTGTCCTACCCCCTCCCTCTCCTTCATCTACCCGCCCCTCCTCCCCTCTTTTTTCTTGCTCATGTTTTCTCTCTTTTTTTTGCTACCATGGAATCGCCGCTTTCCACATGTGACTCACTTTTTCACCAGCCCAAGCCAGACAGAAAAGAGTGTCTCCTCTCCACCACTCTGACTGGGTCCCTAGGTGAAGCAGCATTTCTTAAGGGGGCACTTATTCCTCCATAGGTCCGTCTCTTTCAACGAGGTTGTTCCCTATTGAGACATGTGTCAGCCGGCGACCCAGTTCCCGATTCAAGGGAAAAATTGGGAGGCTAATTATTCATTCCCTCAGTTTGAGTTGTGCTTCTGAGAAGACAACCCCTGAAGGAATAAAGAGAAGGAGTAGGCCTTGATTGGCACCCGTACACCCCCACCTTTTATTTGCCAAGGAACTGAGCGTGCTTGCAGACATTCGCCACCCTAACATCACAGAGAGCAACCCAAAAACAAGGGAGGAGAGAGAAAATAAAGCACAACAAAGCCTGAAAAGAGGAGGAGTAGCAGGAGGAAGAGGTGGGGGGGAGAGAGGCGAGCGTCAGAGGAAAGATTAAATGCCAAGTAAAACTTGTTGACAGAAAAAGGGTCTTGGAAGTAATTTAAGATCAGGACTGGATTCTTGGCAGATAATTACAAGAATCTCTTTAAACAGTTCTCCATTTCAAATCAGCAGGGTTAATCCGATTCTATGAAGGTTTGGAACTGAGGTGTGCTTTTTATTTCACTTTTTGTAATATGTTGAAGGCCAGTGGGGATGAATATCTGCTTGCACTATGAACATGTTGTATCAGGTTCAACATCAACTGAGGTTTCTTTCACTTTCATTGACTCTTTAATTCACTTCCTGCTTGCTTTATTATACCAGAAATGACCCTTATCTTGTTCATCTTTAACACCTTTCATGCAAATCCTATTCACTGCTTTATGACTAGAAGTCATAACCTTAAAAGGCTTCCTAACAAAACGTGTGTGCACAGAAATTAATACTTTCACCCACATTTTCAGGTCAGAAACACACTTTACAGCTCACTGGCACCTGCTCTGTGTAACAGTATTCAACATGCATCCAGGGAGGATTGCTTCAACGTGTTTGCACAGCCCTCATTATTGCTGCTGTGCATGCAGGGATCACATTGGCACAATGCTAAGCAGGCAGAGCAATGCTGTGTAGCTCTTGGAGCATCGCCTGTGACAACTCCACTTGATCATTTGCCATTGTATGGTATCATTATGATGCTATAAGTAACAAAGGCTGTGTAGGTAGGGTGGAGGCAGAAGAAGAATGAGGCAGGATAATAAAGAGAAGTAAAGGGGAGAGGCAAGGGATAATAAAACACATCATAACTCCCAACTACCTCCCAGATCTTAAAATTGCACATATTATGTCGGCACTGAGAATTTGTCGGCCCCAGTTTGACCTTAAAGGTGATATTTCACTGTATACAGAATTTCCAGCTGCTCACTTGCATCATCAACATGAGTCGAAGAGCTGGCACTTTGGGATCACCAGTTTGCATCCAGGCTGCGATAATCAGCGAGGTGAAATGGACAGCGTACTCTATTCACTTAACAACCGCTGCTCAGATGCACTTCAGCAAAACACTTAATCCGTCACTGATTCAAGGAGGGCCCTAAGTAGGAGATTGTGGCAGTACTGCGCTGGATATGATAGTGCTATTAGGTGCACAGGTGCAAATACTGTATCTGTCTGCTACTGCTAGAAAAACCTGCACTAGAGAATTACAAATCAAAACTCAGCACTTTAAGGAATATTTGGACATCTTGGAACATTATGTTTATTCGCTTATTCCAGGTTCACATTCGTTTTTTTTGAAGAACGTCTTTATTTTTATCATACTGCCTGTGCTGCATCACCTCTTTTCACCCTCTGTCTAAAACCAGAGCCAAGTCTGCTCTGATTGGTTAACTGGCCGGCTCTGTTGTGGTCAAACGCTTAGGGATGTCCCTCCCCTTCGCCTATCACGTACAATGTGCTGGAGCTGGTGGGGCATTTCTGTGACGCCATCTATTTTCGTTAGTTACTTAGTAGGCTACTATATTTTATATTCTTTAAAAGTCTAGTATTGTGTGTAATGTTGTATTTCTAGTCTTCTTGTAATGTACTATTTTCTACCTAACTGCAGAATAATTTCATATCTTATAAGGTTGATGTTCTTTGTGCATTGCCCATGTAAAAAATAAATGAGATATAACATAACAACATGCACAGTGTTGCCATTATCTGGAATAAGCTAATATTAGCCGATATGTGATCTGGGTCTAGTTCCATCGTTTGTTTAATCTGCACTAAAGCCTAAGTGGAAAATTATTTTACAGGGGGTTATGTGGGGGGGGGGGGTATCTTTCGGCAGGGTACAGCGACTTCCTGGAGTTTTTTCATCACTGTGAGGTTGCCAGGCAACCAGCGGAGAGAAGAAATAGCTCAGCACTTAACTCCCCGTAAATCGTGTTTACACTTGGGTTAGTGTATTTTTCAGAGATTCAAATAACTTCTTTAATGAGACAGACTTTGTAGGGCTTTAATTGGAGAGGATGTAAATGTTTCAATACCTGTCCTGAATTAAATACTAATTATGTGGTTCCAACTACAGATAAACTGGTGGAAAGAAAGGCTTTTGAAGTGCACATCTGCTGCTGCATCTTTATTCTTTTGTAATGCAGAGTAGTAACAAGCGAAAACATTTTGGCTGATGCCTTTGTTAGTCACTGTCGCAATGCAACCTTTTTAAATTGGTTAGCAGCGGTGTGCGTGATTAGAACAAATCAAACACAGACACTTCACTAACGTAGACATAACACGTTTCTATAAAATATGAAATGCTCATTGGTAGGTGCCCTGAATTAAACTATAAGCTACGTCCTTCAAGTGTTAAATCCAAATGTAAAATAACATTGGATTTGGATCCTGTTATAGATAATGAAAGAGTCCCTTAAATAAACAGGAAATGAATCCTGTCACATTACTAACCGAGCATCCTCGCCAGCGGATCCATAACGGTAATAACCTCAAACTAACCTGCATTTCTGAAGCAGGTGGCAAGTGGTGAGGAGGGTTTGTCTCCACAGGCCAGATTATGAGTTCACAGCCAGACGTGGACAGATGGAGGCAGAGGTTAGCCCTCCGCCCTGCGTTCTGATACACACACACACACACACACACACACACACACACACACACACACACACACACACACACACACACACACACACACACACACACACACACACACACACACACACATTTGGCAAACCACTTTTTCACAGGACAATTACCTTGCAACCTCTGCCAGCCCACACTCAAACACACACACGTGGCCAATTACTAACACAAGGAATGATAACAGTCACAGTCGCGCCACACACAAAAGATGCTGTACTCACAACTGCTCCAGCTCCACAAAAAATGGCAACCAGCTCTGTTTATGAAGGGCCCAGCACCCAGCTGAAGCTTTCTAACACAGGAGACAGACACACTGAGGCGCTCCCAGACATATTTGGCAGAGTTTGTTCAGTTTTTTTTTTTAAACCCTGTGCCTGAAGTCATGTCCAATTCCTTCCCTCTCTCTGTTTTGGTAATTCCATTATCTCTGATTATTGTCTCATAAGCATTGCTGCTCTAATCCACTTGTTGGTCACTTATCTTTGTTACACCAGCCAACCACTGAGCTGATAATGGACTAAGTTTTTAATTCAGTCCTATCTCGCTGGCTCTCTTTTTGACAGTTAGCTGTGATGACAGCTGAATTATGCTTTAAGTCATTTTAAAATACGATAATGACAAAAAGGGATTTACAGGTGACTGATTTGTTAGTTTATTTAAAGAGGTGGTGTTAAATCACCTCTCTACTGCCTGGCATCCCTGTGCATTTGAGTAAGTCGCTTTCTTTTTTTTTTTACTTTCATTTTTGAATTAAGTATGCACATAATTTCTCTGAGACAGTGTGGTTAAGACTCCCGTCTCTGGAACAACATTCACCCCCAGCTAGGATTGGTTCCAGTCACAATCTTTTTTTCTGCTGGATTCCCCCTACTTTGTATTCCTCTCAGCTTTATTACAGTTTCAAGAAAGAAGAGAAAAACTCAGTGGGTGGAAGGAAGACTCTTGGTAAAAAAACAACAACATATAGATATTTCCGTTAGGAGTCTTGATATAAGGGTGACAAATACATCTTAAAGACCATGAAAAAAACACTTCTGCAATGTGATATGGGTCTGAGATGCACAAGATGAATGTTTCGGCCACCTCAGACGAAATTATTATGCTCATACAGCATAGATAAACACGCCAACACCTGCTACAGTGTAAAGTGAATGGCCCTCTAACTCTTCCTCCTGCTCCTGCATTCACCTTGACCACATGCTGTTTTGGTGACACACAGGAGCCTCGCCTATGGTGTAAGTCAACAGCCCTTCGTTTTATTTTTCTGCTGTAGATGCTCCTAACAAGATAACGCTACACCCACACTCTGCAAATCCATAATCAATCTTATAATTATTTCTCCTTTTTTGTTTGGAGTTTAGCATATTTGTTGGCTGACAAACAAAAATGACATTACCATGTTCATGATCTGGCTGATGCATTTCATTCAGAGTAATTTGTGATGAGTGCAACAGCGTTTAAAATTCACAAGCCACCAACCCACTGAAAGAGCTGAAGGGTTCAGAGCCTGCACCGCACAACACTGATTAATGAATCTTTATTTATGATAAAGGACCCCAGCACATTTAATGAAATTGTTGTTTAAGGATTGTTTAACACTTTTGTACACTCAGAATGAAAAACAAAAAAAGGAAGTATTTAATTTAGCATCTAACCAATACAAACACATATTTTACTTTCTTTGAAAATAAATGCACCTTTAGTTTTTGTTATATTCATCTCCAGAAATCCTTAAAGAAGGATTGGACAAAGCATTAGTAAGAGGTTAATTATTTATTTTTTAAAGCAAATGCTTTAAAACTGACTCAGATATAGGTTTTGAACGTGTGATGGAGAAGAGGTAATGACTAATGTTCATCCAACTCAGGTAGGAAAGTCATTCCTCTACAGGGAATAAAGGAGACAGCAAGGCCACTGCAGGGAGAGGGATAAATAATTGGACAATTGTACCAGAAGAGAGAGCATGGACAGAAGTCTAGGTCATGACCTGAAAGTACAAAATGAGTTTTGTTTTTAAAGTCAGTATGTATGGCAGGAGCAAAGGGAAATGTTAGAACACTGAGGACAATTCTGGCTGCAGCTCCTTGGATAGGATGCAGGGATGGAATAACATTGTGTAATGTGGTTGGGGATAGTCTCATTTGGGAGATGTGTTGAGAACGGCTATGATGTGAAGCTCACACCTCAGTGTGTTATCTAAGCCTCTGCAGTGTTGCCAGTATTGACAGGGAGGTCTTGGAAAGGTGTTGCCAAAGAAAACAGCAGCAGTCTTGTCAAGGTTGAGCTAAAGTTACTGGACAAGGATTCGACTGGAGATGTCAGGGAGGCAAGAACAGACGAACAATGCTCGGCTGAGATGAAACTTTACCAGTCCCCATGTGTCATACTCCCAGCTGTCAGAGGATATAAAGTAAAGGAGTACAGTGTTGCCGGTTTCAGAGCAGCAGGAGAAAACTATGGGATGTGGCAAGCGTCTATAAGAGAAAAGACAGAGGCCCAGTAGTGAGCCCTGGGGAACTCCAGTGGAGAAGATGATTATTGAAAACAGAGCTCCTCTCTGCAGCCTTACAGGAATCATTTGGAAATAAACACATGGAGCAAAAACGTAATAACAAAAGGGGGTAATCAATAAAAGGCATTGTTTCTTTCAGCATTTATTTTCTTACACATTTAATAATTGATTAATATTGATGTTTTAAAGTTTACTCTTTTACATTCTGTATGGTGATTTTTCTTTTCTTCTTTCTGTTGACAATATGTTAGTTTAAATGGTGATCCCAATGCATCTCTTATGCAACCAATTACATTTCCAATAGAGACATGAAACAAATATTCACAGAGTAACGCAGAGTAAGTCATTTAAAAGTAATTTAATTAATAGGGATGTCCTCGACTAAGGAGTTAATTAGTTTGAAAACGTTATCTGCTCTTAAATCATAAGGTTTTGTCTATATATCAAAACCCTGATTTATTTCTATCAAGTAAGAATCGTAAACTACAGTGTTCTTTCACTGCACATTTAACGATATCTCATTGCAATATTTGACACAATTTACATTTTTTTATGTTAAAAGAGGTTGGAAAAAAACTGGAAATTTCACCCCAAAAATCACCTATAACACTCTCATACATCTCAGATGGTGACTCTACACCAGCACATCTAACAAGGCTATTTTGGTACTTCACAAGAAATATCAGATGACATAAAGGCTGAAGAATGTGTTACTCTTTTTTTCCTAGATAGTACTTTGTGTGGTCTGTTAGTAAAAATGCTATAGCTTTGTCATCAAAATGTCTGTTTGATACAACAAAGACAAAAATAAACCTAAATGTTGACTTCATGTGTATACCGCTCTATGTAGTTTAAAGGCCGGCAAATTATATTCGTTCTTTGAAGGCTAATTGAGCTTTCATTTGTTCCCGTCTCTGGTCGCTGTAATGTGGCTGCTGATTGTGTGTCTGTATGCAGCCAGCTGTGACTGAAGCTTGTTTGCACCGGACACGACTCAGAAACATGTTTTAGTCATTCGCCTCAGATGAGAAACACCTTACAGTAACTTTAACCAACGCTGGTTTCTACAGCAGCTATAAGGGTTCATGCTCTGTCGCCTTCACACACAGGCAGCACTGAACTAAAGCACTTTTGATTTTAAGTTCAAATGTGTCTTGATTTTTGTCCCAGATTATATGTCTCATGCATTACTGTCAGTATATAGTATATTTACAGTTATTTTTGAATAAAGTTACCAGCTTTAGCATTAATATCATTGGTTACACGCTTCTCATGTTAAGTAAAAAAAACGTGAAAAATCCTGACACACCAGCTTTTAAAAGGCAATACAAAATGTACCTCTTTTATACATCATCATTGAAACGTGATAAATGAATCTTTGACAGCTTGTACTGTCAGTATTTACATGCAAACATTTGACATGTTAGTAGATGCAAAGCCACAGAGCATGTGACACTTCTGCTGGATTATAACAAGGTTCAGATCGCGTGTACAGTCATACATAAACCATTGTCTCTGTTTGTGTGTGTGTGTGTGTGTGTGTGCGTGCGTGCGTGCGTGCGTGCGTGCGTGCGTGCGTGTGTGTGTGCATGACAGCCTGCTAAGTGCTAGTGTGTGTGTGCATTCATATTTATGACTCGTGTCCAAAATACTATATGTTACATTGTCTTTGGCTGCGCTGGCAAGATGCTGAAAACTCATGTGACTCAACAAATAAATTCTGTTTTCTCTCAAAATGTACTTAACCCACACACAAAAGCAAATGCCATCTGAGTTATAGAAAGCAAGCCACAGTGTGTTGAACGTGATGATAAAACACTTAAAATGTAACCAAAGACAATATCAGAGAGTGCTGGAGTACAGTGGGAGAGGAGTAGGGAGGTAACACTGGATCATAGCTACTCATACTGCTGGCACGATCTCAAAGGCATGATTTATTTAGACTAGATTAGTCCTACACTCCAGTGACACTGTGGGATCCAAGGCTTCTTCATCACGACAGCTGCCATAATCACAAGATTTTGTATTAGAATCAGTTGTGTTTATTAGCTCTACTCACAGGCAGCGTTTATGATCCCTTTATGATGTCAAATAAACTCATCGGGAGTCAGCAAGAGATCAAATGTGCTACTTGAAGCCCCTGAAAAGTGGGTAGCAGGATTTCCAGAGCAGAAGAGGTCTTTAGCTCTAAGAGGAAGGGATGTTATGAAAGCGAGCAGCAGTCAAGCATCAGCAAATATAAATAAATGAAGCACTATATTCCTTCCCTGTCCCACCTTGTCCACTGTTTGCATGAATATTGTAGCCAACAAAAAATATCTTTGCATCTAGTGTTTGTACTGATAGTTAAAATTAAAGACCGTAATTATGCTTTTTGGGGGTTTTTCTTTCCTGTTGTGTGTTATATATGTTTTGTTGCATGTAAATGGTCTGCAAAGGCTAAAATCCCACAGTTTCCTCCAGGGGCGGACTGGCCATTGGGAATACCGGGAGTCCCTCCCCTTCCGGTGGACCTCCATGGGACCTTATTTCGAAAAAATTATGTATTGAAGTCAATGGGGAGAGAAAGATTATCTTTTTCGATCCCCTTTGAATTATGCCACGAATTACACATATGATGTTTGTCAATTTAAAAGATAATTTTGCAAGTCAAATTTTTTTAAATGTGTCCCAAAACTGTGAAGTAACACATTTTTTTGTGTGAAACGCTCAATGAACTACATCTCTGGTCTCGCACACGTCAACAACGCCAAGATGGCCGTCACGTTAGCACATTTCACCCATGGATGTATAATAGGCTCTGTGCACAAGATGGCGTCTATCAATTTCCGGCGGGTGGGTGGGTGTGAGGGTGAGTACTTCCGGTTTGAGTACAGAGTTTTGACAGCTTGACAGTTTGACAGTTTGTTATGACACACCAAGAGCAAGAATGTGCTCGGTTCTGTAAGAGCCAGCATGCCGGAACCGTGCGTTTACAAGGTTTCGGTGAGTAAGAACGAGTGTAATGCTGTAACGTTTTAGGATGACATCACTTACGCGAACTCTGGGATTTGTTATGTCAGTCGTTTTCTAGTTTGCGTATTGCTTCATAGTCTGTATCAGTGCGCCGCGCCGCGTTTTACGACAAACTGTGACTTTTTTTTGACATGCGAAATTATTTTTTAAACAGATTGACAACATCGTATGCGGTAATTCATGGCATAAATTCAAACGGGACGAAAGATACATTTTCTCTTTTCCCCATTGACTTCGCAAGTACTAATCTTTCCGCAAATAAGGTCCCATGGGGACGGAGTAGGATTTGGCGTGACTATCGCCTCTCTATAACTATGGCTTACACCCGCGCTTCTAGTTTGCGCCTGAGTGCTCCGACACATTGTATGTGATTAGTCCGTTAACGACTCTATAAGCCAGAGCGATCCAAATCACAACAAATCAGCAGGCCCGGACTGGGCTCTGTTCAAGAAGAAAAGATGAAAAGAGGTGCTGCAGCACAGGCACGATGAAAAAACTAAAAGGACCGTTTTTCAACATTAAAGCCATGGAAAACATTTCACAGGAGACACAAAACGAATATAGTTTATGAAACCTGACAATGAGCCCTATAATAGGGCCCTTTCAATGTTAGGTCTACTTTTTTTTAACTTACTACTAAGTCTCCTTCATTATCCTTCTTGAACTAAAGAGTTCAATTAGAACATAAACTCCTGCGACTTCAGTACGATGAGTAAAGTAACTCTCAATGTTATATTATGTCGCATAAATTATAACAATGTCAAGCCATGATCACATGTTTCACCATATAAAAATAGTGGCGGCCGCAGCACCGCTGCTGGAAATCATGAGCCGCCCGCTGGCTTAGGGGGGCGCCAGCCACGGTACCAAAAAAAAGAATATATAGTATATTTTTTTTTTTACTTTTTTTTTTTCTTTCTGTAAAATAATCATAAGTTGGGCGCACCTTTTTTCCTTGTTTTGTTATGCTGGATTTGTAATTGTATTTGTGTTACCTGTATGTTCTTTTGATATAAAGGGTGTATTTTTGATAAATCTTAAGACATTGGGGCCACTGATGTACTAGGCAGGGGCCAATTTCCTTGGCATAGGCGACACAGGCGGTCTGGCCGTAGGGCCGCCATCTGGGGGCCGCTGCCCGCCGGTAGCTTGCTGGGAGGGAAAAACAATTTTTGACCGTTGGCCCGCTCATCCAATATGTTCCGGTCTTTTGATGTAACCGAACATTCATAATTAAGCTAAATGCCTACACACCCTTTTCATCCCGGTTACACGTCTTATCATGTTGCCCTGTTACGGGTCGCGCGCTGCTGTCCCTTGATGCAAAGTGGGGTGTTTGGGCCTTATCAGTCGTGCCCGCCAGCTTCACAGGCCAGAAGTGCCGAGCGGTGGTGCGCGTAGCCCAGCGGAGAGCGAGCCAAGGAGCCGAGTGGCGCAGCCGCGTACCGGCCGCTGTTGTTATTAGAATCTGTGCTACGCTGCGCTAACGCGATATAAGCGAAGTAGATGTTTCTACAAACCAGGGTGGAGCGGGAGAGCTCTTCTGTCGCAGACTGAAGAGGCCTCAGTGGGAGGTAAAGGATAAAGGACTCTCTGAGTATTGTAAGATAGGTTAATTTAGTCTAAGTTACCTCAGTGCGGGTCTTCAAACGGTTTTGACTACAATTTATGTAAACACATATTTCCAAGCGCACTCCTTCTATAATTATTAGGATAGAATAAAAACAGGTCATTAAATCATTCCGAATTGTATACTAGTAAGCGGACAGTAACCAAAAATCATCGTTTAAAGTTGGAGGCAGAGTACAAAAATTATGGGCCATGTAAATAAATAAATAAATGGCTTACTAGGGTCAAAATAAGATATGAATGAACAACAAAAATAAAATATGCTTACATTTTATTTGCACTTATTGGCTATAGGTAGGTTATTGGCCGTTAGTGTTCATATACTTATTTTGATTATTGAAATGTAAACCGATCTTTTTCATATTGGGCGTTTTAGGTAGTTTGTGGCCCTAGATCATGGTCTCAGTAATTGTGGCTGCTCAAAGTGCACCAGCATTGAAGCATTTTTCTGCTACGGGTACAAGAGGTTTAAAAAAAAAATCGGCTTCCGGGGGGGGCATACCCCGCAACCCCCGGGGGGGGGCATACCCCCGAACCCCCCGAGAGGATGTGACGTCAACCCTCCAATTCAAACATGTTCATACAATACTGAATACATTTGAAGCCATTTTGACGTCTATTACCTATGTCAATAAGTTTCTGTTTTTGCAGTGTATTTGTCTTTTGTAGAGATTTTTCATTTATTCTTTACATTTAAAATGTTGCCTAAAATGTCACCGAGGGCAGCAAATTGTCTAGAACCGGCCCTGGTACTAGGCCTCAAGAGCCTTTCTTGTGCTGACACATAGAAACAAATTGGCGGGGCGCACTTCGCACGCACTAAAAAATTCCACGGGCTCCGCGCTCACATTATACTGGGACCACGTGCTTTAGCACCGCTGCTATGACTCCATCCTAGGGGAAACACTGTATCATTCCTAAATAATGGACAACTACTGTACATATTTTCATGGCATTATATGAATGACATCAGCTGTGAAGGCCCCTGTGTTCCTGTCACCTGTCAGCGGGTCAATTTGTTCTCTCAACCTCTATCAAGATTATTTTCTAAATCAACCTCACATCTCTCCTCGTCCGCTCTCTGCCAGCTGAACTGAATTTACCCCTGATCCCACCTGTTGCAGTGCACAGACTCCGTGCGTAAATGTGAGACTATTCTCAGTTTCACAGGTCACAAAACAGTTTAGATTATTTCTATCTGTCTAATAGCTGCTGGCGGGTGTGCTAAAAAATAATTAATGTGGTGTAAATATAATGAGGTTGTATTTGTATCCATAATTTGAGTTAAAAAATAAACAACAGCCTAATGAGATGACTTTGAGCTGCTGTGTTGTTGGTGCAACAATTTTAATGTGTGTTATGTTTATCAGAAGTTGCAATTAAAGCAGTTATCTTTTTAAGCAGGACTTGACTGCAAAATTGTACAAAGAATTTGGTATTTTTCTAATTGATATGTAAAGTTTGTTAGGCAATATCCTCTTATGAAAACACGCCTTATGAAAACTCACCCATTCACTGCTCTGCTGAAAGAAACACTATGAACCGTCTATTTAAAACATGCCCTTTTACACTACCGTACTTTAATATTTTTGATGTGACTCAAAACATAATTAAACTAGTGATTTTCCAAGATAAATGTGGCTTTAGCTGTTCAGTCATATATGTATAAATACATTTTACTGAATGGATGAGTAGGGATAATAACACAAAGAAGAGTAAATGGATCTGACATGTATTTGCAAAAACTGTTTTTCATTTGATACAACTGGCTGCTCAATTTGATTTTATCTACTGACAGCGATGCAAAGCAACTGAATTAGATTGTTAGATCTTAAGAGAAACGTAATACTTTACATAGTGGTGAGTTTCCTGCTATTTCTAACGGATTTTCTGAATGTTCCTGTAACTCCCCATATACTCACAACTATTTTTAGCCAAAGCTGAAAGCAACCAGTGGAGGAAGAAGTACTCAAACCTTGTATTCAATGAATAGTATCAAAAGTTCATTCTTAACAGCAGAATAAAATATGCGAAATACATTTTAAAGTACAATAAAAGTACACTCACATAGTAGTGGTTTAGGACTGCACAAAAAAGATATATCAAGCACCGTAAAATTGTACATAAATACAATAACATTTCAGGACTGAGCTAAATCCTAAATATCATGATACTACTTGAACTGGATAAATTGCCATAACAAAAGCAGCTTCTTTTAATGTAATGACTAGGTCAGCCAAGGAGCAAGCAATAAACAGGTTGAGACGAAAAATCACCAGCAGCAACAGACTGACACAGGTGAGAGAGAAAAGAGCAAAAAGTCGAGGGGGGGGGGAATATAACCCAACAATTACTCAGTGAATAGAAACTCAGGTGTGTAGCTCTTTAAGACTCAACACTTAAACGACGAAACTCCCCGTGTAACAGCCTAGTCTAATTTGTAGTAAATCCATCTTCACTTTAATTAACAGTTATATTAATTAGAGTAAATTGAATTGGTTTTGAAGTCTTAATCGGACAAATAAGACATTTTGTGACTTTAACTCAAGCAGATTGTGATATTTTCCCAGTTAATTCAAGTCCATAACACATAAGAAATACGAACAGCAAAAGTGTACTACCGCCTTAAGTCAGAGTATTACTCCCCTAATAATGCTCCCTTTACTTTGATACATTGATTTATCTAGTTAAATATATAAAATTGAGCAATAGCAGAGTACATCTCACTGTTCTGCATAGACATATAAAAGAATAGCGACAAAATCCTTTCAGTGACATTTCCTCAATCCTAAGTAAGCAATTGCTGGAAAATGTAATTAAACGGGCCAAGATCCTTATTAACTTTAGACCTCAAAGTGCTACTCAAAGGGAGTCATAATTGGTGGTGAAGGCAGCCAACTAACAGCTTGCAAATTGAGGAGGTAATGCTAAAATGTCCCACTGCAAGACATTTGATATGTGGCTTCTTGTTAGGGATGCATATCGTTGGCTTTTTTACGATACCGATACCACAGAACGATACCGATACTCGACCGATACATATCGTGATACTTTCATGTTGCATAAGGGAAAAATGTAAGCGCTTTATGATATAGTTAACATGTCAAATGAATATTACAATTAATTGTGGGACTTCAACCTTTTAGTACTGAACAAACAATGAAAAACAGGTTTGACAACACAGGCTTGAAGACTGTACATTCCTGTACTCTGATTTTATGCGACAGTAGCAAATGTTTTGAGAGGTTGGATCTGTTGCCGCCTTTCCCAGAAATAAACTTATTGCAGTGGTTACAGACCCCACCATTCAGACTGGCATTCATATGCAGCCACACTTTAGATTTCCGTGCCGACATCCAGCTAATAAAAAACGAAAGCTAACAGCAAGGCTCAGACATTTGGGAGGAAGGTGAAGGGCGTTGCTTGGCAATCAAGCCAATCACCGAAGCTCGTTTGCGGAGTTTCACGGCGAAATTGACATCGTAATTCCGACGGTTTGGGCGCGAGTTTAAGGATATTACGCCTCACTTTTATATAAAAAATTTAAAAAGTATCGAAAACCAGATCTGATTTCGGTACGGTATACCATAGCCACCAGTAACCGGTATTTCGGTAATACCGGGAACCGGTATGCACCCCAACTTCTTGTTATGCATTTTTGGTCTGGATGCTGAATTTGTGCCACTCACTGTTGGTTTATTTAATCATCAATGTTTTTATAAAGGTCTGTGATCACTACAAAGTAAAATCATCATCATTAATTGATATCTATTACATGATTTGTAGACAGAGTTTTGATGTCTGGGAGTGTTGCATAGGCAAGGAAACAAGTTATCTTAGATCCTGTTAGTGATACAAACAAAGCCTAATTGAAATGTACACTGTATCTTTCTGTATTACACAAGCTTGTGCAGTCTGAGTAAAGCGCTCTCCACAGCAGCAGTGAGAACATCTGTCAAATATCTGCTGCAGTGCCTGTAAGGCCTTTCCACATCAAGTCAGCTTTAATAGGTTACTGAGGACTTAAATTCTTACTATTGCTTCAACCTCTCCATCCTATGTTCCTGAGTTGTTCCTCCTGACTGTTGTTCTACTAAACCAAACCCAATATAATCCCTCTCCTGTTTCCTCCTTTCCCTGTCTTCTAGAGGCTTAGTCGATATATTAGACTTCTACACACGTGCGCAGTGAGATAATGAAAACGTTTCTATAAATAGGGACAATAGTGCTGACAGTAGAACTCTTTCAAGTAAGATATCTGTGTAATTTTCACTAACACAACCACACAAGCGTGCATCCACACACATAAATACTGGCGAGAGAAATCTCTTTTATTGCTGTGTGCTTCATCATAGTCCTGAAGCAGCATATTAACACTTGAGTTGCAAAGCAAACACATTTCAGATATGTGCTGTATGAGGCTCGAATATAGGACTAGATCAATGCACCCTACACATCCTAAACAAACAGCACACAGCTTGAATCTGCAGCAGACTAAACACCATGAATCTACACAATACAGTACCCATTCAGCTCCCTTCTGACACACAGGCATCACGCTATATCATAAAATCTCCAATTTATTTGCAACTCGTACAATTCAGATTCATGTTGTACATCTAGTTGTAACACACTACACATATTTCACTACTTCTCCGTCAGGTTTGAATACAATCCGCTAAAACCACGACTGTATTCCATGTAATCACTCTCCAGTCTATATAATACAATGCAACATAATAAAGAGCAATAATACAATTAAACAGTCTGTACAAGCCTCTAATCCCAACTCTCAGAGCAGAAATGGAAGTGAAGACCGATGGGACGAAAAAATAATGAGGTGGATAGAAGAGAGGAGCTCTTTCATTTTCTTCCTCACCTTCCAGCTCATGATGAATGACATCGGAGAGGTTGGGCTCCTCGCCCCACCAGAAGATCCACAGCTCCTTGGCGTCGGGCTTGATTTTGCGTCTCCACACACACAGCAGGTTGGCCTGCACGCAGCGCATGAAGCTGCGCAGAACCGGGTCGTCCTGGGCCGGAGCCGAGATCACCGGGCCGTACTCCCCGCTGCTCCGGAAGCTGTAGCAACGCCATTTAATGCCTGTCAACTCCGCCTGCGGGGGGGGGGGGAAAGAGCAATGATTAAAGCTGCAAACAGTCCATTAACAACCTGAAAATATAACGCAGCAATTTTATATACAAGGAATTTTTCTACCAAGCTCTTTTTTTTTTCTTGCATTTTAAGAAATTATTCACAAAGCATACATAACTAAAACCACCAGACAGGTTCACCCTACTGGCCATAAGACTGTTAAACACCTGAACTTTTGAAAGAAGATCCATAACATTAATCTGTTAGCAACTTATATATATTAATATTCCAATTACTTGTATATAGTCTATTCTGCACTATTTCCATTATATTTTATTTTATTTACTTGCACTATTTTATCCATTGTATTGTGTTGTACTGTTGGAGGAGTCTGTGACCTAAGTGTTCCATTGGCATAACTACACTGTAGCTATGCACACGTGACAATAAAAGCCTTGAATCTTGGATAACAAAAATAAACTCATCTAGGTATATACATTAACTACATAACAGTTGATAATTCCGAGATGAAATAATAATACTAATATTAATAATAAAAATAAAAGAATGGATACAATATTAATACTTAGGTAGACATTAATTGTCAAGTCTTACCTCATGTTCCTTATAAATCTTCATTATAGTGTTCTATACTTTAGCCATTTATCCCACCTTTCCTCAAAGATATGCATTTGGATTCTAATTGTCATAGTTGATTTCTCCATTACATAGATTTCATTTACTATGTTTTATTCATGTACCCTAGTTATTCATGTTTTATTATCTTTGCTTATAAATTACTGTTTTAAAATGCCATTTTATAATATGTTTCTTAATGCTCTTAATGTCTTTCATTTTTGTAAAGCACTTTGAATTGCCTTGTGTTGAAAGGTGCTATATAAACTTGCCTTGCCTTGCCTTGCCTTGCCTTGCCTTGCCTTGCCTTGCCTTGCCTTGCCTTGCCTTGCCTTGCCTTGCCTTGCCTTGCCTTGCCTTGCCTTGCTAGGTTATTCCATTGTGAGTTTATTAAGTTATTATCTTTTAGCCAATTTCTTGTAATTTGTTTGATGATCGCTATTCTTATCCCAAGAAATAGGTATAGGTTTTTCTCTCAATTCAGTTTAAACACTGAGGTAAATGCTGTAACAATTAGTTGATTCATTGATAAGTCAATCGACAGAATCTCCAATGATTTTGATAACACATTAATCATTTTTTAAGCACAAGCTCATTTTCTCTAATTCAGGCTTCTCCAATGTGCTGCTACTCTGTTTTACATCGTTGTCAAATCAATATCTTTAGCTTTTGTGCTGTTGCTTTGATATTTTGTGTGTAGCTCTTCCAATAAAATCACCCACAGATATTAATTGCTAGTTAAAATAATCAGTGTGACAACAAATGTCTTATTTAATTGTAGTTCGATTAATTATTGTCATCAAAGAGCCATGTGTTTATCTCGCACCCAGTAGATGGAATGAAACGAACATTATGGCACAAATCCATAAGGCGATAGCAGCCTTATTAGTGTTGTGTTAACCTTGAAGCACAGTACTTCAGCGTTCATGGATTTCTTTCACATGAAACAGAGCCTCAGACAATGTTGATTCAATCAATACCGGCGAAGACTCTGTCCAATTATTTTATATTTTCCCTGGCATATTGTTTACACAGCTGTGATCCTCCTTGTGTAAATGTGTTAGCATTTTGAACATCTCCCTGTTGTGATGTTATAACCTTATTTAACTTGTACCTGCACTCGCTGCTGTTACGATGCGAGAGAGAGAGTGGAAGAGGAGAGGCAGGGAGTGACGGCGAGACATAAAGGACGGCCTTGAGTGAAATGCAGGGAATTAAGTACTACAGGCGAGACAGTATTGAAATATACGAGGGAGCCGCAGAGGGTGAGAGACACGCGGAGAGGAAATAGTGAAAGGGTCACTACGCCTGGCTCAACAGTGGCAGCTTCTCCCTTTAATGTAATGGGGTGATAGGGGTTTATTTGCCTATTGCAGATAAGAGCCAAACTTCTAACTCATTTCATTTCAAAGTTTGTGAATGAGCATAAATAAGCAAACAAGAAGCTAAACACATAAACAGTGACGCTGCGTTAGTCATGTGTGCTTTGGAAACTCTTTTTCATGTTTGTTTGTGTCCGTGTGTTTGTATTTCTGCATGAATGAGAGGAGCGCACAAAAGGCATTGTTGAACAGGACAGAGATTTGGCAGGCATGGGGGGGGGGGTAAATCTCTCGTTGCGTTGCGCTGCCCTCCTCTCCTGTGTTCACCCAGCTGTGAGGATGATATTTGGCACACTGTCTCTGGCACCAAGACCTCCAAGAGCAGCTGAGAGAAGAAAAAAAAATACTGACCCATTTTAACACGGGACAGGTATGAAGCAGCGGCTCAAATATAATTAAAGCCGTCCCTGCAGTGTCTTTGAGTGGATGAAGAAAAGGAGGCTCCAACGCTTTGATAATCATAGACAGAGGGAACAAGGTAGCCTGTGTGTGTGTGTGTGTGTGTGTGTGTGTGTGTGTGTGTGTGTGTGTGTGTGTGTGTGTGTGTGTGTGTGTGTGTGTGTGTGTGTGTGTTTTCAGTGTGTGTATGAAAGGGTCGCAGGGTTGTGTCCGAATCCAAAATCCAGCCAAAGCTATGCTGTTGTAGAAGACGGTGAATTAAGTCAAATCTAACACCGCAGCACACTGAGGTATGCACACGACCCCCAGGAACATCCTGACCCAATGTAAACATAATTACAAGCACGTCCCTCCTGTAATGACAGTGTGTGTAATGGGAGATATAAACATTGGCTCTGTGATAAGCCAAGCCCTAAAATTAGCCATGACAAGGTCAAGGATGGCGTTTCTTCCAAAAGCAAAGAGGAAGACATCTGCTTGCATTGCCTCGTCACTCCCAGTCAATGTCAAAAGTTCCTCCGCTGTTTGACACAGTCTGCTGCTCCTGAATCAGGAGCGCAGAGGGTGAGGCGAGGAGGAGGGCAATGTCACCAGAAATATTCACAATAAGGGCAAACCAGTTGTTAGTTTTATAATTCAACACATGCTCTCTGGTGAATTGATTGTTAATGATCCCCTCCAGACACATATTCTGCCTGGAATAATAATTTGAGTCTGATCTTTTTCTGAGAAAAAGTTAACAACTTCTACAATGACAATGCGGACATGCTGCTTTATGGCAGGTTAATAATGTTTATAATGTTCACTTTCTTAGTTTGATACGTTTGCTAATTAGCACTGAACATACAAAGCTGAGGATAGTAGATTACGTAGATACGTCATTCATTTTGCAGGTTTTTAGTCATACAACACGCTCTTGGACAAACTGAAATGTTGACCCTTTGAGGCTGGTCAATGAAAAATGAAAAGATGGGTATTATAATTACTTGGGCACTCAATATAATAGCAAATCAGTCAGAAAGACAATTCACTCATAGCCACAAAACATGTGATTTCTCTTAATAAAGAAATTATTTCTTATTTACGTAAAAGATTGGCTTTTTAAAATAATCCTTCTCATGGGTAAACATCTTAAACTCATGTATGGGTCTAAAGCACAGAGAAACTGATGCCTTCAAGTGTAAAACTGCACATAAGTAATGTTCACAGTGAAGTTCCAACAATCCAAACCAAAACACATTTCTGAGTTGAGAGGGGCTTAAAAAAAGGAGAATCTTCTCACATTCTGCTGCAGAAATATGACTTAAAGTCTAATATTACTACAACAACAACATGTAATTTCAGTTGAAATATTGCGCAACATGGCCAGAGGCTGCACTGCCTTCCACACACAGGTGCAGCGTATTTGTTAGCCATGTGTAAAGCACCAACCTGACACCCTGCTGAACTTCTGTGGAGGATTATCTGTGGCACAGATGCAGGAAGAGGAACAGAGCTGCAGTCACATGCTCACAGGGCAGGCCCATCCAAACACATGCCTGCCCTCACACACACACACACTTCACGCACAACAGCTGTGATGACGCGCAGAGCAGAAGTGCTCAAAGAGACTGACATGTATCAGGAGGCAGACATTTCTTCTGGCTGAGGTCCAGTTATTTGTCGGTGATGACAGTGAAGATCTGTGTTTTAATGCCTGTAATGTCTAGTACGTGCGAACATGCATCATGTGTGCCTGGAGTCACAGTAATACCAGTGCTAAAAAACAGCTTATTCTTATTTTTTGTATGAATAAATGATCACTTGTAACAGATAAGAGCAAGCAGAGTAAAACTGTCAAGCGTGTCGAGTTATTATCTCTGCAGCTTTGGTGCCAAATCAGTGTTGTGATTCAAATCCTGTCACGCAAATAAAAACAACCTTTAATCATTTCTTTCAATAGTTCTTTCATTGTTAGGGGATAGAAGAATGGGGGGTGAACGTTCCTGAAGTGCAGACTCTATATTTAGATTATAATCAGAGGATAAATTATACCATGCACTTTAGGTGGTAAATACAGAAAAATGTGTTGTAATGGAGAGTGGCAACTGACAAGGATTAAACTGAGATGAATGTACTTGACAGAAATGCCCTTTTGTGTCATGAGCAGGGGTGATAATAATGTGTTTTTAGGGGAAGTAAATATATGGTCTTGAAAACGGCAGCGTGAAGAACAGAGCAAGTATGTTTCCAAAAAAGCTAAAACCTCAGCTTCCCTCAAAGCACTGAAGAGCAAATCAACGTTTGCTTTGAGCAGAAGTCTCCGTCTCTTTAAAAACTACCACGAGGGGTGAAAAGGGAAAGAGGTCAAGGAAAAAGACGGTGGATTTTGTTTCACTGTCAATAAAGGCAGCACTCTTCCAAGCCTGTTGGTTAGCTAGTTCAATTTCTGATTGAGTGCAGGACCAAAAACAAGAGCTTTTCCTCCCCTTGCTAAGACCGACCAAAGCTTGGCCCTCACTCTCACCTCTATTATCGTCGTTGTCTCCACTCTCCCTCTCATCTCTCAGCACTCTCTCACTGTCACGGATGCCTATTGAATACACCCCCAGAAGTATCTCACGCT